GCTGCCGCCTCCCGCCCTGCCCGCTGCCCGGCTGAGGTAAGCGACCACAGTGTGCTCAGAACGGACAAAAAACAGATCTCAAACACGCTCCCTTAGCGACTTCCAGCTCCCCGGCGGTGCCACTTCGCTGCCCCGGTGACATCCAGCGTAGAGGCTCAGCGTTACGAGCTCAGCGCCCCCTCTCTGCCCCCCAGCTTCTCCGGGATTTCGAGGGCGGTAAACTGCCCCGCTCCCCCCGGGGTGACGGGCCCGGCACCGGCAGCCTTCAGGGTGTAACTCGCTCCCGGCCATAGGACTGTAGGGTAACCCAGCCCTTCCCGCCAGCCTGTGCGAAATAACGTTGTGGGATTTGGCTTTTGCCAAGGCCAAAATCTGCCAGGGAACGAGAGGACCGTGAAGGAGGGCAGAGGAGTGCAGGTTCTGTAGGTGACAGCAGCGGTGGAAGGGGCCTTACCCCTTCGCGGCAGTGTTCCCGTGTTTTATAGCGGTTATACCCTACTTCTAATCATCGCTTACTCGATTGTCACTGAACAACACGGCTCCATCAGCCCCTTGGGAGCTGAAAAGGCAGACATGCATATGGCGTATTTTTCGATCCAGGCATGTTTTACCTGTGTCAGGATATATATTTAATTTTTATATGTAGCTGTTGCTGCATTTGCTAACAGACTAATTAACATCAGCAGATCAACAAAAAGAGGAAAGGTTACCTGTTAATCTAGACTTAACTGTTCTGCCTTTGCGCAGCTCTCTTGCTTTGCTTTTCTTAGAAGGAGACGTGTTTTCAGGAGACCTGCACCTCGACTAGCAAAACTGAGCAAAACACATCTGTGGAGTAATTAATCCCAAGAGAGCATCTACAAAATATGTATTTGCAATTACGTATTGCTTGAAAGCATTTTTTCCATCTCCTGTTTTCAGCGGTAGTTTATGTAAAACATACATGAAGACACGTGTAAGGGAGACAGTCTTCAGGGCCAGATACCGCAAGAGTATCACCTCAGAGATATAATTAGCAATGTAATCCTCTCTCATTATGTGGTTGCTTGGGTGGCAGTTTAAACCGATTTGAATAGTGTCTCCTCCACATCTTTGAGTAAATATTTTACTTCATTGTAAATGCAATGATACCATTATGAGTATTTTTTTTATAATAGTAGAAAAACTACAAATAAGAGGAGTCAGGAGTAGAAACTGTGAAATTTGACATGGATGGAACTAGTTGCTGGGAAGGAACATGCTACAAATACTGTAAAAAAAGGGATTGCAAGTGCTTAGGTAAGGTACAAGATTGCTTGTATCTTTTAGTACTAGCTGGCATATACATTCCCAGTTTCTGGCAATACGTTCCCGCTTTTCTGAATGGAGAGTACAGTTTGCTGTCTTACTTTAATTTTTCTTCCTGCTAGTGTATAATTCAGAATTAAAGACGTAGTGATTTAAAGAGGCTCAGTTTAACAAGGCAGATTTCTCATTTACTTCACTGGGCGACTCGGCAGAGTCCCTGCTTGGGTATTTTTCTGCCACGCTGCAGAAGCTGCTCAGCTAACGGCTAACCAGTGCTGTAGGGCTGTTGCTGGCTGCCAAAGTGCTCAGCCAATTCACCTGTACAGGGTGATTAATACCGGGAACTCCTTAAAGCAAGTACATTTCAAAACGAAAACAGTCCTTTCCCGTTACTGCCACGTATAGTTGAAGACTGCCTGCCTGGTTTGAAGCAGTTAATTGGATTTCCCTCCTTCTGAGGTAGGGTGCTGCAGCTTTGCAGGAGCCCACCCCCACATCTCCAAGCTGCGGCCAGCTGTGTGAGGCCCTCCCTCTGCAGCCTGCACTGACACAGTGGTCACCCACGCATTTTTTCCGACACATTTCCTAGGCGTAGCTTTTCTGTTTCTTTGTTTCAAGGTTCAGACTCCGGAATTGCTTAGGCAAATACTCAACAAAAACATAAATTACTTTCTAGCTTGTATTCTGTGGTTATTTAAAAAAAAGAACCAAAAAAAAACCCACAGAAATTTGTAAACATTGTTACTCCTAATTTTGGGTAGCTTGTTAATGCTGTAAATTAGAAAAATACGTAACAATACACCTATTTCCTCAGTTTTCTTTCCACTCTGGACTTAATCCTATAACAGGAACACGAGGGAGATACAGCCACCTGCAACTCTTGATCTCTGGCCACCTGCATTAAATCTTTTGACCTCTTTGGTTCTTCACTCAAGCAGTTCCCTGTGTTGCAGAGCTTGACCATCTTGTTCCTTAGCAAAAAGCACATGATAAAATGCCTGAAAGGATTGGCTACCTTAGAGCTACTCTAAATTTCTTAACATTTTCTCTTTTCCTTTACCTAGTCTGCCATTTTTGAATGGTTAAATTTTATTGTGCATAAACTTGACAACTGTGCTGCATACCCACAGCAGGGCCAGTGTTTCTTAGAAATTACGTGTACATTAAATAGTGCTTTTGCAAAGGTTGTCACAGATTGGCTTAATATATGGTAGCTCTTCAGAAGTTCTAAAATTGATGAAAGCAGGATTTCTGCCTAATTTCTGTTTTCCAACAACCTGACATTTGCCAGCCATTTCAAAGGCAGAGCTACCAACCCAAAGCCAAGTGTAACTAGATGAGGGCTTTGCAGCCGCGTGGATAATGCTGTGTTTTATTTAGAAAATGAGCTGTCTCACAGAGCAGAGCTAGATGGGGTTGCTATAGCTTCACCACACCTCTCCTTTCCTCTTTGTATCTAGTTTAAGTTGTGATTTTTCTTTCATTTTAATGCTTATGGCTAAAAAGAGGTTCTAGCCTATTTTCCTCGGCTTGTAGTCACCTCTTGCATTGCAAGTGGATTGAATGACCTGTCAGTAATACTTGATACAATCCTTCAGTTTTAGAACTGTCTTTTGAATTGAAATCTTCGTATTACTATGCTGTCTCTACCTAACATTTCTGTTTTATCCTTTATTAGCAATTTTAACAGTGGAACAAACTGGAAAAGAGGGGACTGTCTGAAGTACAGATGGTGAAAGAGGAGAGGGACCACAGGTGAGCTGCTCCTCTGGGATCTCTTTAAGCATCTAAATGTGTATATTTATCCCACAACTGACGCTGCTGTGTAGTCGAGATCTACCAAAGACGGGCTTTGACCCTGCTTTTGTGATTGATTTGCTGGGTGATACTGTGTTGTGCTTAAGGGACAGAAATTCACAAAAAAGAAATTGAAAAGCAAAACTTACAAAATGTCTTTAATAAAATTTCATACTGTTTTAAAATTACACAAAACTAAAGCATTCAGTGGAGTGTTCCAATACAGGCTGAAAAAAAAAGCAGTATTAACTGATTTTTATTATCCAAACTATGAGAAGAGCAAAAAGCAAAAGGTGAAGCTGGAAATGCCCAAAGCCAGCGAGGAATCCAAATATCTAGTTTGTACTAAGTTAAAATTAACCTTGAAGTAAATTAGGTTTTAGTAAATTTTAAGTTTTAGGATAATTCAATGTTTTGATTCTGTCTGTGTACCAATGAAAACAGCATCGTCTAAGTAATGGTCAAACATTTTAATTGCATCCAGCTCTTTGAGAGGCTATTTAGACAGTTTTCTACTTGCCTAATCTGTTAAATTAGCACCTAAGGTCATGGCACAGGTGGATTTGTGAAGTCCGCTGTAAAGTAGCTGTGAGGCAGCCCATGCAGTGCAAGAAATAAGCTGCCAGAAGCCTAGTGATCCTGTTCTACTTACCGAAAAGGCTTGTTAGTATCTTTAAGTGGCACTCATAGTTCTATAGAATTTTCCAGAGGATTTGGGATTCTTCGTTTTGTTTAAATAGGAAAATGCCAAGCGTAGAGAGATCAAGATGATTAGTTTAGTCACTAGCATCCCACCTACTCTGTGTATTCTTTCCTTGGAAATGGCAAATTATTTCAACCTAATGGTTAACTCCCCCAAAAAGTCATCATCAGTTAGCATAAAGCCTTGTCTTGAGAAAAATATGATGACGTAGCCTGTTTGAACAAACATGTTTGGCACCGATTCCTGGAACTCGCTAAATTTTGCAGGTCACCAGAAAAAATTAGTTCTTCAGCTGAATAAACTGCCATTAATACCGCTCCTACATTTGTACTCTTCGGAAGTGAGGGGCAACCCAGCAAACCTCTAACACCTACAGATTGATACAGCAAAGCAGCGGGCTGTTGCACTGAGAATCCGGACCATCCAAGAATTAACCCCTCCACTGGAATCAAATAGGTACACAGTGCTATCGTATTATCCATATGAAAACAACCAGTAAGTATGTCAGTGACAGCTTCTCAAATGCGAGCAGTTAGAACTTTCCTCCAAAGAGTATGCTTATATTAAGAATTTAATTTAATTAATATTTCTTAATTATCTGAAGCTGCTCTTGGTCTTTGGTCTTTAGGCAGCTAAAAAAAATGCTAACTTCCTCCATTTCCTCCTACAAAACGTTTTACCAGATGCTCCATTTTTTTAACACGTTGGGTTTTTTTGTGTGCTGACACATAAAAAATGTGTCCCTTTACTCGTAATTCTGAGACTGTAATTTTAGAGCCACTTCTATAATGACTATGAACAATGCATGATGAAACCAAGAAGCAGTGCTGCTATTGGGGAGCATTACTTGTGCAGGGGTTTTTAGCCAGGGAATCTGTTGATCTAACCATGGAGTCAGCCCTGCCTTGAGCAGGATGTTGGACTAGCTGATCTCCAGTTCTTTCTGCCCTAAATTTTCAGTGGTGCTGCATACAGGTTGTAATTCTTTTAATTCTTTTAATTCTTTTAAATTTAATTTTTAATTTAATTTAATGACAGGCTTTAATTCCCAGGAACTCGAGGCTGCATTCTGCTGGGCCCCTTTGGTTATTGCTGGGGGTCTACTCTCACAAACACCTAAGTGAAAGCCTCATAGTGCACCCATAGCCTGGCATTGAGCAGTTCTTGTCACACGGGGACCCACAAGGACCAGTGTTTTGGAGGTTTTGAGCCCTCCAGTTCCACCTGCAGCCTGGGGAAGCTGTGAGCTCTCAGCACCTTTGGAACTGAAACTTCTACCAACATATTAAAGAAAGATGTGCAACGTAGGATTTTCGGCTCCACAATCTGTTGAGGTTTTTAAGTACCTAAGGTACCTCAGCGTGGTTTCCAAAATTGTGTACAAATCTTTTGAGGCCCCATTTTTATTTAAGGATTTTTTTTCCCCACAAACGTCCATATGTGTATATATAAATGATGTTGGCTGTTTACTAAAATGACTGGATGCCGTTTAGTTCTTGCATGTGAATTTTTTTTGTCCCTGCAAGATTAGTAAGAAACTAGATGTGTAATTCTAACGACTAATTCATTAATTTGTCTCTGTTCTCAGTAAATTAATTATTCTATAGAAAAGTAGTTGGATTCTTCTTCATTCTGATTTTTATTAGCAGTATACAGCAAAAAAAACCAGTGAAGTCCTACTACAAAATTATTTCTGAAAGTGACCGGATTTAGTCCTCCTATATGCTCCATCCCTCTATTTGCCAAGTTAAGGCAGGTGTTTAGCTGAGGTGGTATTTTTGGAATTAGTAAGTTCGTTGGCATCAGCCTTGAGTTGTCTCCTGTAGCTTGCTCTCCTTCCTTGTTTAACTAATACACATATCCTATCCACAGAAGCTTGCACAAATATTTTGTTTCTAAATAATTGGGAGGCATTTTTAATGATGAGCAGTGAGTAGCGCTTAATTAACGCTAGGGATCTTTTAATAAGGCATGCAGGAAAGTGATGGAAATAGGTGAAAGCCTTTTTTTTTGTCAGCTAATATTTAGTGGTTGAAATTGATTTAGTAAAATAGAATAAGATATTGTATCCTATTTTATTTAGCTTGTTTTATTACTTTATCTAGTATTTAGTTAAATCAACAAAGACTTTGCTTTTTTTTTTAGTAGATTACATCCTTTACATTCAGATGAACTTATTTTTGTTACGATTTTGAGATAGTACTTTTAACGCAGTTAATTTATACTCAGTGTAAATACTGCAATGATATTCTATGCTTTATTGGGTGAGAAAAAAATGTTTTGTTCAGGGTGTAGTCACAGATAACAATGAAACATTTATCTCTGATTTGCTTTTCATGGTGTTTCAAAATTAACATATCAGTTTACCTGTGCTTAATGTAGCTTCACACAATTATCTCTGTAGCTAGCTTAGTTGTCTGATGCACATAGACACACACATATGTATTTACTTGTGGTTGATGATAATAGGAAAATTAGGTGGACAGAAAAAAAGAGGTGGAAGATTCAGTTATTAACACATCAGGTTGGTGTGGCCTGTTTGCCTCAATCCCTTTACAATCTAGGTAGGCACAGAAAGCAGTTTATGGGCTGATTATCTGCATGGTCCGTAAGGCACTCCTCATACTTATGTTAAGAAAAGATAGTTACCGGCTCCTCCCAGATTACCATCAGGAATCCAATTAACTACAGGAAATACTGTGGCAACACCATTCAGCTTCTCTCCTGTAAAATGTGAATTCGCTACGACGTATTTCTTGTGGTTGATAACTGCAGCAATGAAGGGATCAACAATCACTCATTCTTTTTGCAGGGTGACAGGTAAGGTGTTAAATTGGAATTATTGAAACTCTGTTAAAACTCATGTAAATTTACTATGGTTTTGACTATATGAAATTTAAAAATAATTTCTCTAACTTGCAGAGTTCATTTTTAAACTTTTCCACTTCTGAATGCTGTTAAAATGCGTTACTGACAGTGTTTCATTCTTCTGAATGTAGTCAGTCTTACAAGTCTGATAGTCTCTTAGTAAACATGATATTCATGGTCAAGAGTATCTGAGTCACCAGTTTTGTTTGTAGAACAGTTAATATATTCATTTTACACCATCTCCTTTTTAATTCTCGATAGTAATTACTGGCTGCCAGCCTGTTAAAGGTAGTTCAAAACAACTTCTGTTAACTATTGGGTTAACGCTGCCACGGAAAGCTGACGTGACTTAAATAACATGAATCAAGTCAATTAGTAGACCTGTCCATCAGTTTAGCTTGCAGTTTCTTACTATTTCTGTAAAAAAATACATGAACAGCAAATACTGAATCACCAGACAAACCCCTACATAATCTTCTTGTCTCTTTTGTACGCGAAAGCAGTTATGGTCCTTTGTAAATATCAAAGTTAATGATTAAATGACATTCACCTTTTACTAAAACGGGGAATATTTTTTTTCCAAAGGGGGAAAAACATGTATAGAAATAACAAATCAGTTGTGGTCCCAGTGAAATCACGGGACTATTACAACAGCTGTAGTATTGTTCTTCTGTGTAAATTACATATAACTAAATTATATGAAAATTTGCTTAAATTATTACCTCGTCTTCTCTCTGCCCTATATCTATGTGTTTATTTTCCGTTTCCAATTTTTTGGTGTTTGCTTATAGGTAGTAAACCTTTCAAATTTCAAATCAGCCTAGGTGCGTGCCTACTGAAAATACGTGTGCTCAATGCTAAACGGCCTTCAAGACTTTTGTTAACTGTAACTTAAGCATTTGTGAAATATCTACTCTCAGCCAGCTTTTTCACTGATCCATACATTAGAACAACAACCTTTGCATTTTGTTTCATTATTCATAATAATAGAGTTTAACAAAACCCTTTTATTACAATTTTTACAAATCTTTAGAAATAACTGCTTTGTTATTCCTGGCAATGTTAAAATTAGATAGTCTGTTGTAATTTAAAATACAATTTCATTTATCAGTGCTTCCTGCAGAAGTGACTATGTCTTAACAAATTTAGAAGATTTCACTGTTAAAAACTCTCATGATCTGCCAATCTTTAAATATCAGATTTAACACCTGAATTTAGAGACTGAGTCATAATTAAGTAGCTGTTAACCACTTCATTAAACACAAACTGTCCTCCTTACACTATCATATTTTTGCTTCGTCTTTGTTATCTCAGTTATCTACCATCTTAATTAGTGCAGTTTACGTAACTTTGCATTTTGGCAATGAAACTTTATCCCACGTGATCTTATATTTAGGCAAATACGCTGTTGGCTTCTGTGGGACTGCTCGCAAAAGCAAAGCTGCTCAGGAAGATAAGTACCCATAGAATCAGGCCACCGTGTAAATTTCAGAGGAGTTATATGAGTGCTTAGGTACGAAGCTAACGTGGCCCCTGCCTGCCTCAGTAGCCAATACGCGCCTTTAAAAATTTGGCTACTGGGTAGTTACTTACCTGTGACTGCAACAGGGAGAGCACAAATTCGCTTTAGAAGACAAGAAAATAGTAAAAATAACCTCAACATTTTATGCGACAGGCAGAATCATCAGTGCTTGGCTATTTTATATGAAGATATTTAAAGTTTAAAATAGCTTTTCTTACACCCTGATATTTTAAAGTGGAAAGCTTATCCCAGATTTTTTGATGTTCATCCATAAAAGTAATCTTTTGAAACGTGTGGTGTGCTGCCCTATTCCTATTTACCAAACCCACATGAATCTGGAGGCTGGACCCTCACTATTGATAGATCCACAGAAATGCAGCGGGGAGCTTTGCGAGGGGATTACTGCTCCTCTTCGTGCTGGCAGCTGAACTGCCCCAGCTGGAATCGTTCCAGTCTGGAACACCAGCTCTTCTCTCTGTTTTGAAAACCTGTCGTGAAATTAAAGATTAGTAATTGCACCTATTAAATGACCATCTTAATGGCAAAAGTAGAGCGAGACCAGCATCTTCTTGCTTCATGGCTTTTTGCTGGCTACATAATTGTTTTCCGGCTGCTAAAACATTAGAGATTGCTCCTTTCTCTCATCTCATTCTGGAGCAAAAATTCAGCCTAGTGACTGGAAGCCACTGTTTTCCAGATCCTGAAACATGGAAAAGGAATCGTCCTTGTTACAAAGCAGAGTGACACTAATTAGCCAGTTGCTAATTTGCTAGCCCCATTGCTAATTTGCTGAGTCCGTCCTGCAGCCTGCTTGTGTGAACTGGCAAGGTATGTCGCCTTTCC